GGGATGATGAGAACGATCCCATTGAAGTCAGAAGTGTAGTGACTGACGCGCAAGCTATACAAGTTTTTAACCAAGCTTTAGATTGGGCTGAAAGAAAAGAAGTTTCATACACGGATATTTTAGTTCTTCGTAAATTACGGGCGCAGGCATTGGAAGACAATGCTAAGCGCAAATTTACGCAGACAGAAATTGTTAATTATTTTTTTTCTAATTAAAAAAATACTTATCGCTGTTAGAATATTTGTTTATTTTGTTATAAATAGTATGTATTAAACGTTTCTTTTAATAAATCAAATATTAAATTAGTTTACATTATCGAGCGTCTGCTGTAATGTATAAAAATATGCTTACATACATTTTGTACTTCAAAAAAGATCAGAAGCGACCAAAATGTCAGTAATGCTTTTTCCACAAGATTATGACGTGGCTACCATTGGCCAGATCAAATAACTAACCAGCTCGTTGTTCGTAATCACTTATTTACGTATATGCAAATATTCGATTCCATTTGTGATTTTATCAACTTGATGGCACTCTGAATAACTGTACTTTATATTTTATCTATTAATTGAAACTTCCCCAGATCTCAAACGGCCCCGTGTAGTGTTCGTTGCTTTTTCGGTATTCCAGTGCTGCATAAAAATATTTAGTATGATTGTTTTTAAAAACAGGATCACTTTGTGATAAGTACTATTTGTACACATAAATATGCTGAGTAAAAACGTATGTTTATGTAATTTTAATAATTTTTGGCATATATGTTCAGCGTCAATTACTAGTAAAATATAGCTAGTATTTTGACATCTTAGCAATACTGGTATACTTGCTTTTCAGTTAATAAGGCCCACATTTATTCGGAACACTTTTAAAAAGTTAGGCCCGGTTTTTCTATCGCTTGTTAACTGGAAACTATGACCTGGAAGTTAACTTCAGCGGTCTACAAGTTTACAGCTATCCCATATATGGTTCTCTACCATTTTAGGACAAACCTGACATTGAAAAACGGTTTTTGAGAGTTAAATGTTGGTCAGCAGTCAAGTTGCAGTTGACTCGAGATCGAATCATCGGACCTTAGAGTAATTCGATAACGAACACCGCGTTTAAGTTTATTGTGATTGTAGATATTAAAATTAAGTAGTACTTGAAAATTTGATTAGGGTCGGGGATTGTGCAATCTTAATATTTAAAAAATACGTTCTAAAAATAAAATTTCATTTTATTGGTACGCTTAGCGAATAGATGTTTGTTTAACAAACGAGTTAATTTTTGTTCATTGTAAGGTATCGCATAAGTATGAGGAAGAACGAAAAAAGTGTCAATGTTTTTGTTTGAAGCATTTTTATAACGTTCCAAACATAATTTTTAAATTTGCCATTATGAAATTCATGGATCTCTAGATGTTGATGGAGTCATATTGTATAAGGTTCTTTTCAAATTAAAATCTATATTAATTCAATATTGCCGTGTTATCGGTTTTGTTTACATGTTAATTTTAATAAATCCCAGTGAACATAGCGACGTCATGATGTCGGCGTTTCTAGGATACTACAACGTACGTCGACCAACAAAAATGACGTAGAAATGACGTCATTATATTATGCAGAGTGTTCATTTCCCACGAAGTCCTTTATTTTGAGGTTTGATTTTTAAAATTGGTCAATTCGTATTCAAATTATAAAAATACATATTTATCTTAATTTGTTCAGAACATGACAAAAACACACAAAAATATCACTATTTATTTCAATAAGTGTTCAAAATGTTGTCCGTTATTCGCCAAACAATGATATAGGCGATGTTCAAATTCCAGACGGACATTTTCAAAAACAGGTTAAATTTCCAACATATCCAAATAAATGTCTTCATTCAAATTTCCATTAATAAACAATCGGCCAATCACTTTATTTCCTAAAATGCCTGCCCATACATTAATTTTTTGGGGGTACTGGGTACGCCCTTCTACAAAAGCATGAGGATTTTCATTGCTCCAATACCTACAGGTATGCTTATTAACAAATCCGTTTTGATAAACGTGCATTCATCACTGAGGCAGATATTTTTTACATGATTGGCTTACTCTTGCAGTATTTTCATTTTGAGTGGATGAAATTTATGGAGTTTAGTAACAGTGTGTACAGGCCCTAATGAAATACCAGTCGCAAAACAAAGTATTAGGATTTAATCCAAAATGACCCAACCTATATTTTCTTTGTAATGTTGTTTTTTCAGTACTTACCGTCATAAAAAGGATGTCAAGATGACAGACTTTTAAAGGACGTCTTGTTGTCGTCATAAAAATGGCGTCAATAAAGACGTCATTTTTTAGTCAATGACATTACCGACTAAAAGTGACCGAATAATGACGTCACTTTGGCGTCATGATGTGTGCTGGGATGTCATTTACGAGTATGCATAAGGACGTAATTTTTTAGTCAATGACGTTACCGACAAAAAGTGACCGAATAATGACGTCATTTTGGCGTCATCATGTCATATACGAGTATGCATGTTCTGGACTATCCGAAAATAAAAACTTTCTGTGAAAAATAATTTACAGAGATGTTTATGAATCTACTTTACGCAGAAACAATTTTGATATTATTTGCGTATCATTTTTAATAACGATTCTTTATCAGTCACTTTTTCTTCGTTAGTTTTTTTTGGAAAGGACCCTATTCTACTGTGATAATTTCAGTCTAAGTTTAAAGCAACTGTGTACCCTACCAACCCGAGTGGTAGAGAGGTTTCACATATTTCAAAGAACGCTTAGGAAGACATTGTACACATACTTCATATCCTTTTAGACAAAAGATTTTCTGAGAGATCGGGGTTTATAAACATTATTTGGGTTTTATAAAGAACTATCCCAGAGCACAATTGGTTTTAAGCGATTGGCTACTGGTAGTTCGGAATGGTTCTGCGATGGTTTTTTCTAAAAACCCGAATTAAGCTATAACAAATAATCGCCATTAAAGATAAAATAGATTCTTATTTCTTGATTAAAAAAGATGTGACTACTTCGGAGCCAGATAAACTGAAGTATGTTTTCAATGACAGAGCGAGAATAATTTTTTGTATAGAATCGTATGCGTATAATATTAAATAATCTAGTCATACTTTGCAAAATTTCTTACATGGATAACGTAGTAAAATATTATATACACAAAAACGTTGTTTTTGTTTTCTGTTATTGAGTTGTTTGTTTTTCTGTTTGTTTTGCGATGTGAAAATTTTGAGACAGAACTTTTTGTCAGCTCAGTTAGAAAGCAGACAAGCAACAATCAGATAATCAGGAAGTTTGACATGTAGAAGATGAAATCAAATTTTTGGCAACAATTTGTTTAAAGCGACAAATATGGAATGGAATTTTTAGATCTGGCGTAGCGACAAGAGATTCTGTTTTCAAATATGTTTCGTGTTACGTTAGAGAAAATGTACCGTTACTTTGTATAATCATAAGCTATTTTTGTAAAAATGTTTGTCAGGAAATTAAATTTGCGACATGACAGAGTGATATGGACCTTAATTATAACTCATTTCTCACGGTATGTAATGAACCATATTTATTGTTTTTTATAACTATAGGTATGATGTGCGTGATATTTGTGAAGTGATTTTTGGACAGTTAACGTTGGATAAACTAGTGTAGGAATATGGCTGTATCATTTCGGTTTCCTAGCCTTACCCGAAAATCCTCCTCCGTATAAGGTCACTTCAGTTTATGATGTAAGTCCGTTTGCTTCCAGGTAAGCTTATAACAAGCCATTTTATTCTTGGATACCTTGTAGCAGAAAATAAAAAAAGCATACAGCGTAATACGAGCGATTCGACCGATTTTCATTAGAATACCGATTTAGTAACCTCGTTTGTGTTGCTCACCATAAGCTCACTCCTCATGACTTTTAAACAGATGCATCCATTTTCACCAAACATAGTTGAGAACCAGCTCGACAGATCAGACTTTTGATTAACAGAATGCATACAAATCAGTTCATCCGATGGGGCGCTATGATGCTACAGACAATAAAATAATATACAGGGTGGCGCATCGAAAACGAAACAGACACATTTACTGGCAGCTCAGTTTTTTTTTTTGAAAAAGGACCATTTCTCTATCTAAAACATTCACCGAATTTTGATTTAAATTTGTTCATTGTTTTACCCGCTGTGTGGCTTGTGGCACCGTCTTGTTGAAACCACATATCATTGATGTCTAGCCCATCCAATTGACCAAAAAAATGACGTGACATTTTTCGGTAGCGATCTCCGTTGGCGGTAACGTCACGGTCAATTTCACAAGGAAAAAAAACGCCCAATGACATGAAAACCACACCATACAGTTTTTGTGGATGAAGTGGTGTTTCTTGAAGCACATGAGGGTTTTCACATGACCAATAACGCATATTCTGTTCGTTGACGAAGCCGTTTAACCAAAAATGCGCCTCATCACTGAAGATTATTTTGCGATGAAATTGGTCATTTTCTTGCAACATTTCTAAAGCCCAATTCGAGAACTTACGTCGGGTCATATCATCGAACTGCTTTAGTTCTTGAGAGCTTGATCTTATAAGGGTGCAGGCCAAGATCTCTTCGCAAAATTCGCCATAGTGTGGTCTGAGCTATGCCCAACTCTTCAGCAATATTATCGACACTTCGACCAACCCGTTGTCTCACTGATACGGGAACACCCAGCAGCGAATCTGTGGACTCAATTTTTTTACTAGACTATGAATTGCTTTTCTAGTGGGACGAGAATTACGACCAAAAATTGGAAAGTTGCAGCCACCGACTCGGAATTTCGGTAGTAAATTTTAATTGTTTGTAAGCGTTGTTCGTTCGTGTGATGAAAACGTTTTCTTTACTGGATGTTTTGACATTGACAGTTCGGTAATTGATTCAAAGGTGCGTTCACAGTGAAAATTCAAAGTTGCCAGGTCCCTATTGGAAAACCCGATACAACAAAGGTTTTTGCGTCAGTGGTTAAAAATAAACAAGGTAAGGATGATGAGACAAAAATATATTTAAATACATTGATCAAGGAACATTGTCCAAATAACAGAAAAACATACGTACACTAAACGGTCTCAAAGTATTTAGATATACTTTTAAATAACTCCGTGATTTAGGGAAAAATGCAAATGAAACAGTATATGAAAATGTCCTATCACTCAATATTTGATGAGCGTAACTGGTCCTTATCTCCACCCTAACTAACGACTATAATTAACAGATATACATATAACAGATATACCTATAACAGATATCAGATAGGCGAGAAAAAAAACTTCAGACTTTATTGGGTACTTCGACTAATTATTCTACTCGTGTAACTTTCTCCTGCAGCTTTCGATAAATTGTGTCATCATCATTAGGAGCTACAAAACATTTTAAAAATAGCAACTACAATTGATCTTAAATTACTTACAAAAGTAGGCGAGGTTGTTGCTAAATCTTATTAACTAAGTTAATGAGGACACTTAGTAACCTGATGAAAACTGGATCCATGGTAGCAGTAGTTAGAATTTATAAAATACAAAAAAAAAACAGCACAAACACTTTTGGATTGATTGTTAAATTTTTTGATATCTTGCTACTTTACAAAATGGCGCACAGGACAAAACCATCGGAAGCAAAAAGAGCATCTAAGTTGACATCGGCAGACATAAAGAAACATCAGTGGCTGGAAAATGTGTGGTGTGTGTTCTAGATTGCCAACCTAATTGAACAGGTGACGTATTTCAAATCCATGTCAAAGAAAGATTCACGATGCTGAAAATCAAAAGCAGTTGAAAAAACTTTTTTTTTGTAAAAAATAAATCTAACCTGATTTGCTTATTCTATTCAGTTTTTCCCAAATTCTGACTTTCTCGACCCCAATGAAATTTTTAAAATATAATTTAAAAAAAAGTTTTTTTCAACTGGTTTTGATTTTTAACACTTAGCTTTGGCGTGGATTCGAAATATGACACCTGTTCAATTAGGTTGGCAACAATCTATAACACATACATTTTCCAGCCACTGATATTGCACCTGTCAGCCGATGTCAACCTTCATGCTCTTTCTGCATCCGATGGTTTTGCCTCGTGCGCCATTTTGTAAAGTAGCAAGATTGTTCACGATGTAAGAAATTAAAAAAATCAGTCGAAAAATATTTAACCTGTTGTGGTGTTTTTTGACACGTGGCAGTGTGTGTTTTATAAATTTTAACTACCGCTACCGTGGATCCAGTGTTCATCAGGTTACTGAATGTCATTATTAACTTAGTTAACAACATTTCTCCCACTTTTGTAACTGATTAAAGAACGATTATTCACACGTGCTTGCTATATCTAAAATGTTTTGTAGCTCCTGATGATGATGACATAGCTTATCGAAAGCTGCAGAACAAAGTTACAAGAGTACACTTTCCACTAATTAGTCGAAGTACCCAATAAAGGCAGAAGCTTTTTCTCACCAAAATTCTCACGTATTAACAAATATACATATATATATATATATATATATATATATATATATATATATATATATATATATATATATATATATAGGTGAAAAATTAAAGCTTCCGCCTTTTGATGGGTACTTCGACAAAATTTAAGCAAGGAGGACTCTTTATACTTTTTTTATTCTCTCTAGCTTTCAATGGTCTTTGCCATCATCATCAGGAGCTGCAATTACATTAATAACAGTAGCAACAATAGTGTAAAATGAATTTAAATTAACTTACAGTAGTATGTGAGGATGTTGCTAATTGTTGCTTACGTTCAGGATGAGGGAAACACCCAGTAACATGGTGAAAGCTGGATAAATGGTACAATGGTCAAAATTATATAAAATACACACAGCCGTATGACAAGAACAAGTTAAAAACTGATTAAAAATTTTTAGAAAATCAATCATCAAGTGGCTTCACGATGTAATGCTTTCATTTACTGGGTGTTTCCCTCATCCTGAACGTAAACAACAATTAGCAACATCCTCACATACTACTGTAAGTTAATTTAAATTTATTTTACACCATTGTTGCTACTGTTATCAATGTAATTGCAGCTCCTGATGATGATGGCAAAGACCATTAAAAGCTAGAGAGAATAAAAAAATTATAAAGAGTCCTCGTTGCTTAAATTTTGTCGAAGTACCCAACAAAAGGCGGAAGCTTTAATTTTTCACCTAACTGGTCTAGACGGCAATGACCACGTCTCAAGTTATATATATATATATATATATATAACAGATATAGCTTCTACAACTTTGATTCTGATAACCAATGGAACTGCTGTGGTTTCCTATCGGCAGTTGTACTAATTATCACGTTGATGATGGTTGGAGAATCCTCAATTTTCAAGGCACTTTTTATGGCTAATTTCAATTCTGGTATGGTGTTGACAAAGAAACCAGGTTTGCCAAAAAGGTTCATCATGTTATCGTAGCGGGTAGCGCTACTCAGGCACGAAGGTGGTGTTCTGAAATATAATAAAACGTTTTTGGTATTTTAATTTATTTGTACAAATCTGTCTAAGTTTGGTCGTCTTTACCAATAGCTCTACATAACCCAATGAATGTAGTTCAGTTATTTTTGTTGCAACCTCACACCTGACACCAAAATATACTACTATACTACTCAGTCAAATTTCAATTTAATAACAAAAGGAATCTTCGATATGGTCTTTAAGCAGACCGCTGTGATCATCTTGAACACAACTTACATCTTTGCAATATCTTCTAGTTCGGTACTATCCCTCAAGTTTTTGAAAGCTTCAGGTTCCATTCCGGTGTAAATTCCAGAATTATTTACAACGACTATTATAATTGGCAATTTGTATCTGACCATGGTTTCTATCTCCATTCCTGAGAAGCCAAATGCAGAATCACCTTCAACGCAAATGACACGTTTCGTAGGTTCGTGGTGTCTGCAGTAAAGAGCAGCTGCAATAGCAAAGCCTGGACCAACCTGCAAAAAGTCTTCCATCAAAATAACGCATCATTTTATTAAGAATATATCTGATTCCCAGGTACACAAGCTCGGCAAGATTTTAAAATTGCACATCAATAAAAAAGGATTGGACCCGAAGGGTATTACTGCTTAGACTTATTCCATGAAGCGATTCTGGTGAACACTACATCAAAAACATAAGCATATAATCAAAAACTCAGATCTTCGATTTCACAGGAAAGTGCCCATTCCCAGGCCAATCCCATTTTCAATGACTTTCTTTTGGAAAATTTTATAGTTTATTGATTGTATAATTTCGCACGTATTATATCTTTCTAACTCAGCGGTTCAGTATTGTGCTGAAATCTTTTGGACACTTATGTTTTTATTATATACTAAGTGACATATAAATCCAAACACCCAGTTTAAATGGTTTTATTTTAATAAAATTTTGTATAAGTACTTAATGAAGCATAATAAGTAAATGATACAAATTTCAAAATGATTGCATTGCTTTAAGGCCCTTTGATCTTTAATAATGTGTGGATGCACCCTGATGTGCTACGCATTCTCCAACGCGCCTAGGCATGCTTCTGATCAGGTGGTCAATGTCCTCCTGTGGTATCTCATTCCAGGCAACCACCAACTCCTCTCGAAGTGCTTCTAGAGTCTGAGGAGGACGTTGCAAATTGAGCAATCTCCTACCCATCATATCCCACACGTGCTCAATTGGGAATAAGTCGGGAGATCTTGGTGGCCATGGTAACAATGTGACATCATTATGTTGAAAGAAGTCTATTGTGACTCTTGCAACATGTGGTCGGGCATTATCTTGTTGGAAAGTTGGATCTGCCAGGGTGTCAAAATAGGGTAAAAGATGGGGTTCTAGAACTTCGTGGATATAACGCTGCGCGTTCATGTTACCTCTGATAAAGATTAAACGTGACCTGGAACCATAAGCTATAGCACCCCAAACCATAACTCCAACAGTGTGATGAACATGTCTTTCAACAAAAAACTGTCGATTCCTCCTTTCACCACGTCGCCTTCTAACCCTGGCACGACCATCGTGCATGCCTAAAGAAAATCGAGAATCGTCACTAAAGATAATACTGTTCCATTCCTGATCCCAGAGTGACCGTTGTCTGCACCACTCAAGGCGATTACGTCGGTGTTCTCGAGTTAAAGGGAGGACCCAGTGTGGCCAGTATGAAAACAAGCCAAAACTTCTCATTCGTCGGTAAACACTTCGCATGCCAATATGTCTTCCGTGTTCTGCGGCGGCGATCTTCACGGTCTGTTGTTCTATGGCGGCGTCCAGTGCCCCTTGCTCTTTGCGTACGGCCTTCTCGAAGCCATGCCTGACAACACCTAACCACAGTGTCTACACTTCTTTGCACTCTAAGTGCAATTGCCCGAAAAGAAAGTCCAGCTTCCCGAAGTCCCACTATACGGCCCCTATCAAACTCACTAAGTTGACGAAATCGTACAGGTCTCCGTACTCTAGGCATCGTAACCGATCGTAAAGGATGTCAAGAACCAAAATCCGCCAACGTTGATTCTTTACTGCGGCTGAAATATTCATTTTTAGAGCGTTAGTGAATTAAAAAAAAACAGTATAAAAACCGGAATGTCCAACTGATAAAGCTGAAAATTTTTTCACTCGTTATTAACAGTAAGATAAATACATTCACCAACTTTTATTAAAATAAAACCATTTAAACTGGGTGTTCGGATTTATATGTCACTTAGTATATAAACGACTACATCAGGAAATTTCCTCATAAAATATCGTCGGTCCCTCGTAAACTTGGTTCCGCCCATTGGCAACCAGCGCCACTCTGTGACTTCTGTACGTACTAGCCTGCACAGGAATATTTGGTTTCCTATCAAAATACCTTCTTCACCCATTTTTCTCGGTTCCTTTTCATTTCCTATCGAACATACCTTCTTCAAGGCCACTCATTTAACCTTATTTCAAGAAGTTAGGTGTTCCGCGTCATTTTGACATTCCTGCGGAGATTGTGGTTTGGGCGTCGTTTCGTTAATTTCCTGATTCTGGGATATTAAAGCCCCAAACACCAGTTTATGGAATAGTACCCTTGTATTTTGTACCATACGTTGAGTTATTTTGGTTTGGGTGCTACCTTGTCCATTTTCGTATGAGATTTTAATCTTCAGCGGTAAGTTCTTTCTTTATACCATCGGACCACGTGCATTAATGAATGTCCTGAAGAAGTTTCTTTAATATCTGCTTCCTTATAGTGGGAAGGCATTGCGGAGAACCACCATTCACACTCTTCCAGCTTTGTTTTGTAGCTGCCTTGTGGCAGTTTTGCACCTGATATTACTGGAAACCACCCCTTCCCCTTGACAAAAAACTCTGATGTGAGTAGGTAAAATATTATTTTAATTAAATATGTCATAGATATTTAGACTAAGTGACATATAAATCCGAACACCCAGTTTAAATGGTTTTATTTTAATAAAAGTTGGTGGATGTATTTATCTTACTGTAAATAACAAGTGAAAAAATTTTCAGCCTTATCAGTTGGACATTCCGGTTTTTATACTGCTTTTTTTTAATTCACTAACGCTCTAAAAATGAATATTTCAGCCGCAGTAAAGAATCAACGTTGGCGGATTTTGGTTCTTGACATCCTTTTAGGATCGGTTACGATGCCTACAGTACGGAGACCTGTACGATTTCGTCAACTTAGTGAGTTTGATAGGGGCCGTATAGTGGGACTTCGGGAAGCTGGACTTTCTTTTCGGGCAATTGCAGAGAGTGCAAAGAAGTGTAGACACTGTGGTTAGGTGTTGTCAGGCATGGCTTCGAGAAGGCCGTACGCAAAGAGCAAGGGGCACTGGACGCCGCCATAGAACAACAGACCGTGAAGATCGCCGCTTAAGATTATTGGCCTTAAGGGACCGTTTCTCCACTACCAGGTCCATTGCAAATGACTGGTTTGCAGAACTCGGAAGACCTATTGGCATGCGAAGTGTTTACCGACGAATGAGAAGTTTTGGCTTGTTTTCATACCGGCCACACTGGGTCCTCCCTTTAACTCGAGAACACCGACGTAATCGCCTTGAGTGGTGCAGACAACGGTCACTCTGGGATCAGGAATGGAACAGTATTGACTTTAGTGACGAGTTTCGATTTTGTTTAGGCATGCACGATGGTCGTGCCAGGGTCAGAAGGCGACGTGGTGAAAGGAGGAATCCACAGTTTTTTGTTGAAAGACATGTTCATCACACTGTTGGAGTTATGGTTTGGGGTGCTATAGCTTATGGTTCCAGGTCACCTTTAATCTTCATCAGAGGTAACATGAACGCGCAGCGTTATATCCACGAAGTTCTAGAACCCCATCTTTTACCCTATCTTGACACCCTGGCAGATCCAACTTTCCAACAAGATAATGCCCGACCACATGTTGCAAGAGTCACAATAGACTTCTTTCAACATAATGATGTCACATTGTTACCATGGCCACCAAGATCTCCCGACTTATCCCCAATTGAGCACGTGTGGGATATGATGGGTAGGAGATTGCTCAATTTGCAACGTCCTCCTCAGACTCTAGAAGCACTTCGAGAGGAGTTGGTGGTTGCCTGGAATGAGATACCACAGGAGGACATTGACCACCTGATCAGAAGCATGCCTAGGCGCGTTGGAAAATGCGTAGCACATCAGGGTGCATCCACACATTATTAAAGGTCAAAGGGCTTTAAAGCAGTGCAATCATTTTGAAATTTTTATCATTTACTTATTATGCTTCATTAAGTACTTATACAAAATTTTATTAAAATAAAACCATTTAAACTGGGTGTTCGGATTTATATGTCACTTAGTATATATATTCATTATTACTCACTTAAATTCTTAGAGTAGTTCTTGACTTTGTTTGTTATTTTACGTATTATTTTTGAGCTGCCATAACTTTATTGAAGAACAACGGATCAATTTTTGAGGGTATACCACTTTAGTACATTTTTATGTTTTTTTGCATTTGCTTTACTTTTCTCGTAAAAACAATGTTCATGTTTTGAGTGTTTTCAATGGGTAGTTTTGTCTCAGACGATATTTTATGAGAACATTTCTGAGATAGTCGATAGATAGTAGATTTCAATGCAATACTGAATCCCTAAGAAAGAAAGATATAATAGGTGCGAAATTATACAGTCAATAATCTATGAAATTTGCCAGAAGAAAATCATTGAAAAGGGTTTGGCCTAGGAATGGGCACTCTACCATTAATAAAAGAGAAAATCAAATTACTGGTTAATGATCAAAATAGTAAAAAAGGCTTACGTGATTTTGGCGCGTTACAGATTTCAGAATACAAGTTTGCTTTAATGTTGGACACGTTAACGGTTTTAAAGGCATTTGTTATGTTTTTGTTGGACTTTTGCTGCAAATATAATTGAACTTACCCCCATAGTTCCAAAGGTTCCCGCATCAAGCCTGTTTCTTGGTTGGTTATTGAAGAGCATAGTTCTGCCAATATCCATAGTATTTGCTCCTTCACTCACAATGATGCAGTTGTCGGGAAGATGTTGGTACAGGTTGTGGAAAACTGTATAGTAATTTAGAGGAACTGATTCGTCTGCAGCCATAGCCTATCGAAAGGATTGGATAAGAATGTGTATGGTAACTTATCATTTGGCGTAGACCGAAAATTGAGGAAAACAAAAAAAAATAGTTTTTTTACACCGAAGTAGCCTCGTAGGCAGAGACCTAAATGCCAGGACACCATGGCTGCTACGGGAATCACAATGAGATTTTGTCGACTCCCTCGGCACAAAGGAGCGGTCATATCGGCCAGTTCGGGATGTACGAAGTTCGAGGGTTCGGCTCACCGCTGCGAAAGGATCCCGAGACTGCCTGTTAGAGAAGAGTCATAGATCAGTCCTTCTTTGGACAGCATCGAGCATAAATAGCGTGTTCGGGGCGGCAGCACCCCAAACGAGGCTAACATTTTCTTAGAGCCATTCGCTAATGACATCTGCACTAGGGCGATAAAGTAGCCTGGTTGAAGTCGAGCCGGCAATTGACGTTTGCATGTTTCAAGAATGAAAATATACAGCTCATAATAGTGAGGGTGCCTGGTTCCATTCTGTCGCAGCACCTTTTCACGTCGTCAAACTATAGTTAGATCTACGTTTCCTAAATAAAATGTACTTTTCCTCTATTGATTTAGTTTTTTCAATTTTATTACATTTACATTTCCCTTCTTTTGAAAAAATCGGACAGGATCTCCGAGAAATCTGCCAGCGAGTATATTTGTTGAAAACAAAAAATTATGTAATAGAAAAAATCGCTCCTCAGACGGTGCTACCGTGGTGAGTGCCAACGAGACGACGTGGTGAAACTAGAAAGCGATCAGAGACACCTGACTCATCTCGTTGTGGTTTTATTTAAACGCCAACAGATGGGTTAATTAGGCAGCTTGAGCGAAGAAAGGAGATAAAGCGTTGGTAGTATTGATTTGCCTCTAAGTCGATCCTGAAAGATGGTTAGCAGCTAGTGCTGTGGAGTAATTTGTTAGGTCGACTGCAAAGGAATGGAGGAGATGCGGACTCATTTCTCATAACTCCAAATATGTTGTTTTCAAAAAACTTTGCCTTTAACTAAAAGTGACAATTCGGAAGAAAGTCGTATACAATACACAGGGTGTTTCAGTTTATTGTTGCATAACTTTAAGATTCGATAGAACTTTTAAAATTAATGCATAAAGTCTATATAAACATGGGTCGAAAAATGCGTGGCTTCCGAAATACAGGGTGTTTAAATTTACTTTTTAAAATAGTATTTTTTAAATATTTCGAACAATATTCGATGTATAACAGTGAAAATTGGTATACAAGGGCTTTTTGGTACGACAAAACGAACCATGGGCATAGTTTTACTGTAGCCGCTAGAGGGCACTCTCTACTGTACCTGTAGTGTATTAAAATGACCGAAAAAATTTTCTTAGTGCAATTTTTTGCTTTTTGAATAAAAAAAATGATTCTTCGCACTTTTCAACATAAAAGAGCTCTCCTGTGAATTTTCGTCATAGTTAGCCGTTTTTGAGATATTTCGATTTTTAGGGTTCGATGCATTTTTAATTATTTATGATAAAATAACGTTAACAAGTCAGTATCTCGATAATTTTTAGAAGTAAGCTGTGCCTGCAAATATTTTTGAAATTGAAAGCAGAATAAGGTTAAACGTCAATTAGTTGACAGTTAGTTTTGTTGTCTGTTGAAACCTGAAACGTTTTTTTGTAATTGTGAATTTAGTTTCTTTTACCTGTCTTTTTTTGTTTTTTTGTTTTATAAAAATGCCATTTTTATTCTCCAATCAAGAGTTAGCGGATATTCATTTTGTGTAAGGCTTTGTAAATGGAAACGCAGCAGAAGCAGCCAAAGAATACGCACGAAGATTTCCAAACAGACAACATCCAACTCGCTCAGTATTTGTAAGAGTGCATCGCCAAATAATTGAAAATGGTTTTGGAAATCTCCAAAGGTATCAAAACATAAATGTTCGTCAGCGCAGATTTACCCGTATGATTCTGCGTGAGTTTGATAGAGATCCGACCACAAGTGTTAGTAGAGTTTCTGGTGCCTTGGGAATTTCAGCAAGCCATGTTCACCGTGTTTTTACAAATGACCATAGACGTCCTTACCATTTGCAACCTGTGCCAGGGGACGGAGAACCAAGAATCACATTTTGTCAGTGGATTCTTGATAGAACTGATAATAATAGGGAGTTTTTAAGTAACGTTTTATGGACCGATGAGTCATGCTTCACTAGACGTGGAGTGGTAAATTTTTATAATCAACATATTTGGTCGCATGAAAATCCGCATGCAGTTCGGGAAAGAAATGTTCAGCATGCATTTAGTGTGAACGTGTGGATTGGTATCTACCGTAATCGACTATTTGGACCCTACCTTTTGCCTGCAAGGTTAAATGCTGCGACCTTCTTGGAATTTTTAAAGGCTGAACATGCAAATATGTGTGATGATGTTATATTAGATTTAAGAAGATTGGCCTGGTTCCAGCTTGATGGTTGTCCAGCTCATTATTCGAGAATAGTTAGAAACTGGCTGGACGAAAGATGGATCGGCCGTGGAGAACCAGTCGCCTGGCCTCCACGATCCCCTGACCTAAATCCATTAGATTTCTTTGTGTGGAGATTACTAAAAGAAAAAGTGTACCAGACTCCCGTAACCACAAGAGATATGCTAATAGACAGAATCAGGAATGCATGTGATGAAATAAGGCCTTATTTGAATAATGCTATACCACGTTCGATCATTCGTAGATGTGAATTGTGTATTGAACAATTGGGTTTACATTTCGAGCAACTACTTTAGATTTTGTATGTTTGTCCTAACTATCCAATAGCATTTTAGTTGTAAATAATTAATTTAATTTGTTAAAAATAATATTGGAATATTAAACAAATTAATATTCTGTTTTTTGTGTTTATTTGGAGTTAGGAATTATTGCTGCGTTTAAAAACACAATCTAAACGATCATCTTAATGACTTGTAATGCCCAAATCGAAAATGTAAAAAAAATATTATTTTCCCATAAATAATTAAAAATGTATCGACCTTAGAAATCGAAATATCTCAAAAACGGCTAACTATAACGAAAACTCACAGGAGAGCTTTTTTATGCAGAAAAGTGCGAAGAATCAGTTTTTTTTTGTTCAAAAAGCAAAAAATTGCAATAAGAAAAATTTTCGGTCATTTTAATACACTACAGGTACAGTAGAGAGCGCCCTCTAGCGGCTACAGTAAAACTATGCCCATGGTTCGTTTTGTCGTACCAAAAAACCCTTGCATACCAATTTTCACTGTTATACATCGAATATTGTTCGAAATATTAAAAAAAAACTATTTTAAAAAGTAAATTTAAGCACCCTGTATTTCGGAAGCCACGCATTTTTCGACCCATATTTATATAGACTTTATGCATTAATTTTAAAAGTTCTATCGAATCTTAAAGTTATGCAACAATAAACTGAAACACCCTGTATTCAACAGACTTACCTGTACAGTTCTTCGATTGTCCTGACACTTCCTCTCCAACACCTGCCACCACTCGTTCTGACTGCTATACGTGAAATTCCTTTTCTTCAGTCCTGCCACGATCTGTTCAACAGCCACTCTGAGGTCGCTCTGTATAGCAACGGCTGATTTGACGCTAGTATTCAATTCTTCAGCTGACAGGTCTATCTGAATTACTTTTGCATCTGGGGAATATCGAGGAGGCCTTCCAAAGTGGAGGATCCAATTTAGTCGAGCTCCCAGCAGCAGAACGACGTCTGCTTTCTGAAGAGCAGTTGACCTGAAACGATGAACGTTCTGTTGATATCTCACGCTTGAGTGACCCAAGAATATAAAAAAACTGTTTGCTTTCCGTTGTCTGTCTCCAATGACAAGACCTATACCATAATTTATGAATGCGAAAGCCGCGTACAGACCGAGATTCCAACGCAAACCAAAGCACATGTGGTTAGGGGCCGTTCGAGTATTACGTGAGCATTATGGGTGCTTTGCTTATTTTGGATGACATGGGGGGTAGGAGAGTCTAGATGATGATTACGTAATCGGTAGTTATTTACTTTTTTACATGAATGGCAACCCTCACATTGTCTTTGCTTGAAAACGAAACGCAGTTTCGGGGATTCCCGCAAATAATGCATACGTTTAGTGAACAGCGCGCGGTAATTCCCCTAATCGCTTTAGAACCGAGTAGGGGAATTACCGCGCGGTGTTCACTTGTCTAAATTTCCTCTATCAGTGTATTGTTTCGTTTGGATACTTATAGCGAGTAGACGTATTGTAAGCATAGTAAAGCAAGTTAACATTTGTGTTACCATTGATTCCATTAGCCAAAGTTTAGTGTTTAAATAAGATGTCGTTTCACATAGACAAATCCAAGTTGTACCAAAAATTGTTTGAAAGTTTAAAAAAATATCATACAAGTACGAAAGTACAACATGTACAAAAGTTAGTTAACGAAGTGTGGCGAAATTACAAATTACAAGCAATATCCGACAAGGAGCTAGATATTATTGTATCTAAGCGAATCGAAGAAGAATTGCAAGCGGTGACTAAGAATAAATCCAATCTACTATATTTTGAGTGACGAAATTATTTTAGGTACCTATGAGTACTAGAAATATTAGAAATCGCCAAAAAGTTTCTCTTTACTGATTAGAAAATATTATGGCCTATCTCAAAGTATAGAGGTAATATTCATGATATTATAGATTCATTTCTTATGACTGATTCCGTCAATTGGTCACAAAGACCACGATGTTAGTTTTATACATATATAGAGAAAACTAACACCCTGTATTTTGTGACCGGAACGAATTGCTGGTTCAAACATATTAGATTTAAAGCCATAGGGTTTTGTATTTACTATATATATTGCCATACTTTGTATTTATGTAGCTTAATAAGAGAATCTTTAGCAGAAGCCATAGACCGTTTTTATTTTTAAGCAACCTGTAAATCTGCAGAAAAAATAAAAATTATACAGTCAGCTTCAAATATTAAAAAAGAGGAAGAAGATAAAATAAAACCCGTTAATGAATCACAACAGCAATGCGAAATTGATGAAAAAACAGATAAACAGAGAGCAAAACCTTCTCAGGAAGCTATGAAAAATAAGATTGCTCTACTCGAAAAAAATCTGAATGCTTTGTATTCTGCCAGAGATACTATGCCAAGCCGTGCTGAAGTTGATAAACAGATCATTAAGTTGCGCGAGGAAATAAAAACAGCAAAACAGTCTTTAAACAGGAAGCTTCAAAACGCAGTTGCCCAGAAGAAACACAGGGATGGTATGGAAAGAAAGTTAGAAGATATTTGTCATGAAAATCCAGAAATAAAAAAAAGACTATCTCTGAGGGATTCAGTGGGACGTCCTAATCTTGAAAGCAATCAACATTCACTATTGAAAACAATCGCGGATATAGCTTTATTTGGGAGTGCAGCAGATGATAGAAGACGAACGGAATCAATTCGCAGCGTAAAAACTCTTGATGCACTCACACAAGAATTACGTAAAATAGGATTTGACATTAGTCGCAGTGGGACATATCTTCGTTTGATTCCCAGAAAATCTAATTCTGCAGAGGGACGAAGACATGTATCGACAGTCCCTGTTAAGCTCATTCGGGCTCAAACTGATCACCACAAGAGCCACTTAGATAGCAAGTTCGCTGAAACATCAATCTATTATTTAGAGAACATAGCATCTATACTTGGACCAGATCAAGTATTTTTCTTATCTCAAGATGATAAAGCTCGATTCCCTATTGGCGTAACTGCGGCAAATAAGCAAGCACCTCTTCTAATGCACATGGAATATAGAATCAAATTTCCTGATCACGATTGGGTAATCGCTGAGCGTCATAAATTAATACCATATGTTTATGCTGGTATTAAAATCATTTCCAATATGCTAGGACAACCGCAAGCCGTTGGATATTTTGGACCAACGTACATCGATATTCGAAGTGGAAAGCATAGTTCATCTACTGCTAATACTCATGCTCAGGATTTCGAGAAGCTTCTCGAACTTGAAGAGTTTCGACCATTAGCAAAAACTGACCATGGACTAGTAAAACCAGTGGTAATCATGACGGTTGATGGAGGGCCAGATGAAAATTCACGTTATCAAAAAGTCATAGGGTTTGCTATACAACACTTTAAGCGACATGATCTCGATGCATTGTTTTTAGCTACCAATGCTCCTGGAAGAAGTGCGTATAACAGAGTAGAGCGCAGAATGGCTCCTCTTAGTGGGGAACTGGCTGGTTTAATATTGCCTCATGACCATTTTTAGTCTCTTTTGGATGAACGTGGCGTTACAATTGATGAACATTTAGAAAGATCTAATTTCGAATTTGCAGGAAATGTATTAGCTGAAGTATGGAGTTCAAGGGAAATTGATGGCAAAATATGTTGGGGCAAGTGAACAAGATCTTCCTGATTTTCCAGATATAATGAACTGATGTGCATTATTCAAAATTTAGAGCACCATGATGTTGAATGTCTCGATGAGAACGACGTAGACATTCCAAAATCCGATGAAAGCGAGCAAACTCACAATACTGAGCAGCAATCGAAGCAATCCAATGTCATCGAAAACTTAGAATTATGGATTCGGGTTTCATGGACTGAAGACTGTTAATTTGAATTTAATATATGTACCAAAAATTTAAAATAAGTTTGTTATGTTAGTAAGATATAATATTTTTGTCTTTTAATCTCTGTTGAATACCGTATCAGTAAAATTTAATCTCTATCCTAAATCTATTTTCTTATTTTTCAAATTATAATTATAACGTTATAATTATGATATTAAAAAAAACAATACATTAATTGACAAATGTTTACGTAAGCATGGGGGGAGGGGGTAAGAGCTTTGGTTACTTTTGCTGACAAGGGGGATGGGGGGGGTTAATAATTGTGATAAATCTGCTTACGTAATACTTGAACGGCCCTTTACAGCTTTGGAGGTGTACGAATCGGGGTTTATGGCACGAGCCACATGTGCTTGCATTCGCTTGCTCGGCGTTGGATTTTCGGTCTGTACGCGGCTTAACAAGCAAGAAACAACGTTGTATACGGTTGGTTATGGTCACAAACGCGGAGATCAAACATATCCTGTTAAGAAGACCTTTATTACCGTGCAGGTTGAACACACTTAGGCGACGCATCCGGTACAACTCCTTTGCCCATTGGCGTTGCCAAAAATGGTAGATTTGTCGAATCTATCAAGTCTCGCACTGTAGCTTCTGCTCTAGCATACGCTGCTCCTTTACCTACGATCACTAATGGTCTTGAAGCTTGTGTAATCAAATCTACAGCTGTTTGTATGTCGCTCGGATTCGGATATATCAAAGGTGGCGGTGTCGGGCCATAGTATGGCGATACTGATGATTCTTCAACCCTTCCTGATAGAAAAACAAGCATTATGATCTCGTCGATGAAAAACGGTTTTTGTTTAGATTTAAGAGGTAAACACCTGTTTATCCGATTTTAATAATTTTTGGCATATAAATTATGGTATCCTAATAACTAGTTTCCTTAAGAGACCATCTCCTTAATTCGCTAGACCATCCCTTAAGGTGACCGTTTTTTATCGGTCATTTCTTCGAATAACGACTGTTTGCACAGCTCTCCAACTCTTATCAATTTCTAAGATTTACAGGTGTTACTTCTAGAGCTTACCGGAATATTTCTTTGTTTGAGATTTAGTATAAAAACATTGCTGTGTCAGCATTCATGATTCATTCATTCTCTGACCGTTATCATTCTGTACTACAACAATTGTACTGTGTCGACCGAAGTCTTATAATAATAAAAAAGCTACTTTACTGGAAACGAATTTTTATTTATATGTTCAGTGTCACTTACTAGTAAGATAAAGTAAGATAAAGTCTGCGCAGGGTGTTGTAAATTGAAGAGCCTTAACTGTGATAAGAAGCTAGTTGCCGTATACCGTTTTCCTCGTTTTTTCATTTCAGAGAAAAATATCGACAACTTTGTTTCAATCACAAGCAAGTCGACTCAGAATTGACGGGTATCCAACACTTCATGAAAAATATACTAAGTGACATATAAATCCGAACACCCAGTTTAAATGGTTTTATTTTAATAAAATTTTGTATAAGTACTTAATGAAGCATAATAAGTAAATGATAAAAATTTCAAAATGATTGCACTGCTTTAAAGCCCTTTGACCTTTAATAATGTGTGGATGCACCCTGATGTGCTACGCATTCTCCAACGCGCCTAGGCATGCTTCTGATCAGGTGGTCAATGTCCTCCTGTGGTATCTCATTCCAGGCAACCACCAACTCCTCTGTCTGAGGAGGACGTTGCAAATTGAGCAATCTCCTACCCATCATATCCCACACGTGCTCAATTGGGGATAAGTCGGGATATCTTGGTGGCCATGGTAACAATGTGACATCATTATGTTGAAAGAAGTCTATTGTGACTCTTGCAACATGTGGTCGGGCATTATCCTGTTGGAAAGTTGGATCTGCCAGGGTTTCAAGATAGGGTAAAAGATGGGGTTCTAGAACTTCGTGGATATAACGCTGCGCGTTCATGTTACCTCTGATGAAGATTAAAGGTTACCTGGAACCATAAGCTATAGCACCCCAAACCATAACTCCAACAGTGTGATGAACATGTCTTTCAACAAAAAACTGTGGATTCCTCCTTTCACCATGTCGCCTTCTAACCCTGGCACGACCATCGTGCATGCCTAAACAAAATCGAGACTCGTCACTAAAGACAATACTGTTCCATTCCTGATCCCAGAGTGACCGTTGTCTGCACCACTCAAGGCGATTACGTCGGTGTTCTCGAGTTAAAGGGAGGAGCTAGTGTGGCCGGTATGAAAACAAGCCAAAACTTCTCATTCGTCGGTAAACACTTCGCATGCCAATAGGTCTTCCGTGTTCTGCAAACCATTCATTTGCAATGGACCTGGTAGTGGAGAAACGGTCCCTTAAGGCCAATAATCTTAGGCGGCGATCTTCACGGTCTGTTGTTCTACGGCGGCGTCCAGTGCCGCTTGCTCTTTGCGTACGGCCTTCTCGAAGCCATGCCTGACAACACCTAACCACAATGTCTACACTTCTTTCCACTATAACTGCAATTGCCCGAAAAGAAAGTCCAGCTTCCCGAAGTCCCACTATACGGCCCCTATCAAACTCACTAAGTTGACGAAATCGTACAGGTCTCCGTAATCTAGGCATCGTAACCGATCGTAAAGATGTCAAGAACCAAAATCCGCCAACGTTGATTCTTTACTGCGGCTGAAATATTCATTTTTAGAGCGTTAGTGAATTAAAAAAAGCAGTATAAAAACCGGAATGTCCACCTGATAAGGCTGAAAATTTTTTCACATGTTATTTACAGTATGATAAATACATTCACCAACTTTTATTAAAATAAAACCATTTAAACTGGGTGTTCGGATTTATATGTCACTTAGTATATATAAGGAATATAAGATACAAATAAAGAAGTGTCTTATTCGTCGAACAAGAATTAGGTTTAGAAATCCATACGTGGTTTTCCTATTAATTTTCAAGTTTGTCGACCCGGGTTGTATCGCTCCCCGATCACAATGATATTTATTTTTTGCTGTTAGAGTCAAATGAAAAAAAAAAAACAACAGAAGGTATGCGTATCTCAATTCGAGCAAATTATTGTTTGCCCTCATGACTGGGACTAATATACAGGGTGGCCCATCCATGTGTGGCCGGAATATTACTCATAAACAAATTTTGGGAAAATCTATTTATGGGATGTTATACATGACGTTTAAGGGCACACTTCTAAAATATTGGTCATTATACAGGGTGTCCCAATTTCGAACTACATATCAAAGTTGTGATTTTTCAAAACGAATGCCTCAAATTTTATTGCATATTTGGATAAAGAAATTCAAACGAAGAAATTGATATAACATACTATGGGGTTTTGGTAATTAGCTACTGAGATATAAGGTGTTTTGTCTACTTCGGCAACCGCTCAGACCACCATTTTGAAATTTGGAGTGATGAATTTTGTATCAAAAAAAACTTACACACCTCAGCTTTTATCTTATTTGTTACTTTTTAGAATTTTAATTTTAGCTCATACAGGGTGGTCAAAAACGCAAATTGTAGTTTTCCTCAAAAATTTCAAATGCATATTTGTGCAAGTTTGGATTCAATTTTTTATAAGCTTTTTTTGATACTAGATAAATAAGGGTTTTTACGGCCATTTTTTCTGTTATTAGCACGTCTTTTATGGAACGGCTCAAATCCCTAAAATATCGCATCATCCTTGGAAACAAATAAATTGTTGATTAGTTACAAACTGTCAAAATTTGCTTTGTGAGCATGGATGGGCCACCCTGTACATACAGACTGTAACAAAAGTTTGAAACGCATCGAGTATCTGACGAATAACTGATCTTATTTTTTTTTAATTGGTAGGTTCGGGTTCGAAACCACGGCGGATCCGTTGATGATGCCAAACCTAAGGTTTTTCAGAAACTGATAGCAACTTTTGTTTTTCTTATGAAAAGGAAATATTATCCGTTTTCCTGGGCTATTACGATTCTTAATTCTGCAGGTTTGCAGTCACGCTAAGGCTGACAAATCGCGTCCTCCAGTCATACACCTGCTGTATATGGCAAATATTTTGTATAGTGAGTTACAATTAGTGAACCGTTTTTGATAAAGCATGTTGATAATTACCTGACAATATGTTTGCCGGAAAGTCTAAGTAAGCTGCTCCCGGTCTGCCATTTTTGGTGAGACGAACTGCCTTTTCTACGTGCATAGGTATAAGTGGAATAGTTGGTGGCCTTGCGGCATACTTGCAGTAAGGCCTAGCTAACTCTACCTATAAACCGACAGGACATTTGGACAGCATCAAAAACAGAACACGTATACACTAAGAATTTGAAGAGCACCTGACCAAAAGCTTACAAAATCAAGCTAACTTCAAATAAAAAAAAATTCAATAACAAAAATTGGGTAATCGGTTTATGAACCACGAAGTGTAATCTAGGGTTGCGTAGAAGAATTTACAGGATAAGGCATTCAATTTTATTTTGACATGATCTCGTAAAACTACAAGTAATAGTTTGAAGAATTAGACGGTACTGATAAAACTGACGAACATTTTAAAACTTTTTCCTCTCTGGATCGATTTTGACTGGATTTGGATATCAGCATCCAATGATGACTCATGCTTTGATATTAAAAAAAATTAAATTCAATACCTGGTTACATTCTTGGAATCCTCCAATACCTTCGTGATCTTGCGGAGCTGATCCACCAATTACCAGTACTGGCCAGCAGTTGATCTGTAGAATAACACTGCAGTCATAGCATTGTTAAAAAATACACTGGACAACAAATTTTAGTTTTTTAATTGTATCTTGTGGGAAAAGTGCACTTCTTTGTTAATTTTGGGGCGCTGAATCCAAAAATGACAATAAAATAAAAAAATGAGTTGCGATTTAGAAAAAAACTTTTTATTTTTAAGGATATATCAAAAAAAAGTAACAAGATTCATATACTTATAAGAATCACTATATGCGCTGTCTTTTTGCTGTTCTTTTATGGATCGTTTCTGGAGCATCTCTACCAAGAGTCCAACAGTAGTCTGCAAGCATAGAAGGATTCCACTTTCCCTGGTACCTTTTTTCCATTGTTGAAATATCCTGATGAAAACGTTCGCTGTGCTCATCACTTACGGCTCCGCAATTGTCAGGAAAAATGTCCAGGTGTGAGTGTAGGAAATGTATCTTAAGAGACATATTACAGCTCATCTTTTGATACGATGACAGCATATTTTTGACAAGGGTTTTATAGTTGTCAGCTTTTCTATTTCCCATTGGTGACCACCAGACGGAAATCATTCCAAGCAGTTTTTTCCATACCTGTTAAAGTGTTTTCAAACTGTGTATCTTTCAAAATATCTCGAATCTGTGGCCCAACAAAAATACCTTCTTTAACCTTTGCCTCACTTAGTCTTGGAAATTTCTGACGCAGGTATTGAAAAGCTGACCCATCTCTATCTAATGCCTTGACAAAGTTTTTCATTAGACCCAACTTGATATGCAGTGGTGGTAATAAAATTTTTTTCGAATCTACTAATGGCATATGCTGTACATTTTTTTGACCTGGCTCTAGGAATTGACGAACAGGCCAGTTTTGTCTGGTGTAATGAAGTGCCTTTGCCCGACTGTCCCATTCACACAAAAAACAGCAAAACTTTGTGTAGCCTAGCTGCAGCCCAAGTAAAAGTGCAAGAACTTTCAAATCGCCACAAATATGCCATTGGTGCTCATCGTATTTTATGCATGTCAATAGGTACTTCATATTGTCATATGATTCTTTCATGTGAACTGCATACCCTACAGGAAGAGATGGTAAAATATTTCCAATATGCAATAACACTGCCTTTAAACTCAATGTTGAACTGTCTATAAACAGTCTCCATTCTTCTGGGTTATAGTTTATATTTAAAGCCGCCAGTAAGCCGTTAATGTTACTGCAGAAAACCAAGTTATTCTCCATATTGAAAAATGGTTCTAAGTCTTTGTGGCGTTTACGAAAAACACATACCGAAACATCGTCTTCTAACAAGTTCCACTGCTGCAGTCTTGATCCAAGTAACTCTGCCTTACATTTTGAAAGTTCTAAATGTCTTACAAGGTCATTTAATTCTGACTGTGTTATTTTGTGCGGTTGGTGGCATGACGTGCTCGGTATAAAATCAGGATCTCTTGACGTTGATGGCATATCTTCTTCCTGACGAATCACTCGATCGCCATGATCTGATTCGTTTTCTGATTCGCAAGTGTAGGATTCTGGGGGTTTTGGAATAGGATTTTCGTCACTGTGAGGCACAGGTCTCATCGCAGATAGTATGTTTGGGTAGTTAATAACCGATTTTTTTTCATGGACGTACCTGTGGCTTGTCCAACACAAGGTACCATGCAAAAGTAACAATCATTAATATGATTTGTAGGCTCTCTCCAAACCATTGGGACAGCAAAGCGCATAGACCGTTTTTTGCCATTTAACCAGCTCCTCAGACTTGAAGCACATGTATTACAGCAGATGTGGGGTGCCCACTGTTTGTCTTGATCACCTAGTTTACAACCGAAATAAAGCTGATATGCCTTTGTTATTAGTGGAGTAATAGACCGTCTCTAAGACGCAAAAGTCACATCACCACACACGTAACAAAACTGATCTGGATTGTTTACACACTTTCGAGACATCTTGCATGAACGCTGTCAGCCAACTGAGGAAAAAATGGCAAATATAAAACAATATAATGTACACGTATGTATAACGTAACAAACCCAATCATGCCGATTACACCATCTTTCCTTGCCGAATATAAAAATGTAGCACGTGCATTCTTGTGAATTACAGTATATTGACACTGTCACAGCAGGAACACATATAATTACCGCATCTCTAAAACTTGAACTAATATTGAAAAAATAAGTTTCATTCCGGTTTTAGCACATTAAAAATAGTAATATTTTGTTGATTTTATTTAGGATATTTTTTGGCTGTTGATCAGTGATATTAACAATTTAATATTTAATTTGCATGTATTCATATACGAACTTACTTGTGCATTAGCGAGCCCTCCAAACGTATGAAGCAATCCAGGGCCAGATACCACTAGGCAAGCAGCGGGCTTGCCCGTGAGGTATCCCATAGCCTGAGCTGCATAACATGCTGCTTGTTCGTTTCTCATTCCTATGTAGTGAATGTCTGCCATCTGCATAGCCATACTTAGTTCTATTACTGGGTAGCCTACTATCCCGAACACAAAGTCTACGCCCTTAAACAAATAAATTAAGTAAAAAAATGCATCTTTAAAGCAATATTGTTCACAAAATTAACTACAAATTTATAAATATTTTTCCGATTGGAAATATAGAAACTATAATGAAGATCCTTCATATCAAATTTTTAAATGAAAGCGTCTTACAATCGAAAAATATTTTTAAATTTTTAGTGCATTTTATAAAAACTCGATAGAGGACCTTGTCTTATCAATTTGGTTCAGTCTGATATTGACTTCTTTACCTGTACACTCTCAGGCCTTAGAAAGTATCTTTTAAATTGTGATTTTTATAATAATGACTTATGATCTTGCATGTTTTAATTGTTATTCTCAATTTGTAAGTTGATTTTGTGAAAATGGGGTCACACGTAAATTTAGTGAATAAATAAATAATAAAAATGTATTTTTCATTTCATTTATGTTTTACTTTTTAGTATTTATGATGTCAAATAATATATTGTATAATTTATATATACTAAGTGACATACAAATCCGAACACCCAGTTTAAATGGTTTTATTTTAATAAAAGTTGGTGAATGTATTTATCTTACTGTAAATAACAAGTGAAAAAATTTTCAGCCTTATCAGTTGGACATTCCGGTTTTTATACTGCTTTTTTTTAATTCACTAACGCTCTAAAAATGAATATTTCAGCCGCAGTAAAGAATCAACGTTGGCGGATTTTGGTTCTTGACATCCTTTACGATCGTTTACGATGCCTAGAGTACGGAGACCTGTACGATTTCGTCAACTTAGTGAGTTTGATAGGGGCCGTATAGTGGGACTTCGGGAAGCTGGACTTTCTTTTCGGGCAATTGCAGTTAGAGTGCAAAGAAGTGTAGACACTGTGGTTAGGTGTTGTCAGGCATGGCTACGAGAAGGCCGTACGCAAAGAGCAAGGGGCACTGTACGCCGCCGTAGAACAACAGACCGTAAAGATCGCCGCCTATGATTATTGGCCTTAAGGGACCGTTTCTCCACTACCAAGTCCATTGCGAATGAATGGTTTGCAGAACACGGAAGACCTATTGACATGCGAAGTGTTTACTGACGAATGAGAAGTTTTGGCTTGTTTTCATACCGGCCACACTGGGTCCTCCATTTAACTCGAGAACACCGACGTAATCGCCTTGAGTGGTGCAGACAACGGTCACTCTGGGATCAGGAATGGAAAAGTATTGTCTTTAGTGACGAGTCTCGATTTTGTTTAGGCATGCACGATGGTCGTGCCAGGGTTAGAAGGCGACGTGGTGAAAGGAGGAATCCACAGTTTTTTGTTGAAAGACATGTCCATCACACTGTTGGAGTTATGGTTTGGGGTGCTATAGCTTATGGTTCCAGGTCACCTTTAATCTTCATCAGAGGTAACATGAACGCGCAGCGTTATATCCACGAAGTTCTAGAACCCCATCTTTTACCATATCTTGACACCCTGGCAGATACAACTTTCCAACAAGATAATGCCCGACCACATGCTGCAAGAGTCACAATAGACTTCTTTCAACATAATGATGTCACATTGTTACCATGGCCACCAAGATCTCCCGACTTATCCCCAATTGAGCACGAGTGGGATATGATGGGTAGGAGATTGCTCAATTTGCAACGTCCTCCTCAGACTCTAGAAGCACTTCGAGAGGAGTTGGTGGTTGCCTGGAATGAGATACCACAGGAGGACATTGACCACCTGATCAGAAGCATGCCTAGGCGCGTTGGAGAATGCGTAGCACATCAGGGTGCATCCACACATGATTAAAGGTCAAAGGGCTTTAAAGCAGTGCAATCATTTTGAAATTTTTATCATTTACTTATTACGCTTCATTAAGTACTTAAACCATTTAAACTGGGTGTTCGGATTTATATGTCACTTAGTATATGTAGGCTCTTTCTACCGATTTACCTCGTGTGTATGTCTTGTAAAATATTTCAGCGAACGATAAAAATACTATTACTGTACTACAGATAATTTTTGTTATTCTTCCAAAAATGTTTCACAAACAGGAGTATCGTTAGTCCTGGTTAAGAGTGTCACATTTTTCGTTAATGAGAATGAGTTTTGTATTGTAAGCAAACATATTTATCCATAATATGAACTTATGAGCTTTATTAATTACATACAATCATTTTTTTACACTATTTTGTCTTTCCTATGCCAAATATCGATAAGCATTCGATAAGCACGAAATACTTGTGTCGTAATATCTATTTTAGCCTTTAGACTAGAGTAATTATCATAAATTATAAATGAAATGTATAAATATGGCAGCTTGTTACAGTTAAATCATCTCACAGTGAATTGAGTTTTCATCCATTAACTCGTTTAATCCAAAACCAACATTGTCGGATATAGCACACATATTGTAAGAAACAAATAGTCATTCAAATTAATGAACACATAAATACATATTGCTTATCGTTTGTACATAATATTTACTTTCAGCGATTTCAACATAATCCATTACGGTAGAAAATATCGATACTTCAAATATCGACTTTTAATCCCCATCTCTATTAGTATCAGAGCTGTGACGAGATCCAACAGCTGATCCTATACACTGTTGTCGCGTCTACAAAACCAAAAGTCCCTCTCGGCATTGGTGGGTGCCCATATTTCAAGGGCGCAAAATTAGTAAAAAGTTGCTTGTAGCTTTTTTATATGCAAATGAACTTTTCAAAACAACCAGAACAATATACGGCGCTGTCTACCTAGCCTTGGCGAATCGGGTGTCTTTTGCCAATATGGGAAATTTTCAAATAACACTAAATAATCAGCTGTCGATCTAGATTCCAGGTCAGTATTTTTTGATATTCAGAACATGATGGCTATTTTCTACGCCAATAGTTCACATTGCTGTGAACCTTGCCTAACTTGTTAACCCTCTTTCTGTGCGTTTATTTTACCATCTAATTTCAAGGCTGTGGTCCGGTACCAAAACGAAAGACACATCGTACGCCACTGGGATTCGCAAGCACCGTCTTTGTCGATACAAAGGGATACCTTTATAGTAGTAGCATACATGCGTTATGCTCTCTTCCGTTTCGGTACCCGAGTATAACGTCAGTATACTTCCGGTAAAAGCTTGGTCCGGCTACTGAAATCCAGTCCTCTACCGTATATATATATATATAGGTGAAAAATTAAAGCTTCCGCCTTTTGTTGGGTACTTCGACAAAATTTAAGCAAAGAGGACTCTTTATACTTTTTTTTAATTCTCTCTAGCTTTCAATGGACTTTGCCATCATCATCAGGAGCTGCAATTACATTGACAACAGTAGCAACAATAGTGTAAAATGAATTTAAATTGACTTAACTTACAGTAGTATGTGAGGATGTTGCTAATTGTTGTTTACGTTTAGGATGAGGGAAACGCCCAGTAACATGGTGAAAGCAACGTTTCTCTGCAAAGGTATCTCACAACTTTGAGACCAAGCTTGCATAATGGGTTCCTGCTTTGCAATACACCATTGCAAAAATGGATGTTTTTTTGGTCTTGAAGCTGCTTGAACATACACAAATGTCAATTAAAGTGAAAGACAAACCCAAAATAATCACACACAGACAAACTACATTTCTGATAGAAGGAGAGTTAAGAATTGGTCCGAGGACCGAACCCTGAGGAACATACAAAGCTTCCACGTTTTTGCGACAACAAAAAATAGGTGGCAACGCTGTACAACACAGCACAGCGGAATGGAATTCATCAATAACATACATATACATGTACTTGATTGCTTATCGTAACAAGATAATGTCGCAAACGGTTCTAATATAGTGTCTATTTCCACTACATGGCCTTCGGGTAGACATGAATCTTTTACTATTAGTCCTTAATATCCCAAGTATCATCAGCATACCTGGGCAGGGCGATATCAGGTATCGAATATCTATGCCTAGTATATAGATGTATCTACATCGTATTCAGTTCAATTTATTTTAAAATCTAGGTACGTACCTGTTGTTTCAGAGCGCGTGCAATCACTGTATTCCCATCTACTTCCTCCATTTTTGCTTTTTCTTCGTAGTGTAAAACTTAATTTACTTAATTTCTTCTGTTGATTCGTTTCTATCAATGCTATTTCGTTAACTGCTTAGTGCCGAGGTTCACATGCTAGTTGAGGTAGGAGAGAAGCATTTGCTATTGAATGCTATCTGCTGATATCTCAATTAAAGCTGAAAGCAAGGTCAGATTTTCAATTGTTATGAACGGTATACTTGAAAAAGCAAATCAAGTATTTTGAAACGTCAACGGTGAAAATGAGACAGCGACGCAGGTAAAGCACAGATGGTATAAAAGCGTGGTATAAAAGCCACCGTACGATTTGTTTAGGAAGAAAACGAACGTGGAATGGGGATGGGCAAAATATCGAAATTGCGAAGGAAAATGCAGCGAGTTTCTTGAAAGTCCAGATGAAATAATTCGGTGGCATGCGGCGAATGAAATAAGTTCTATTGACACAACAGTGTTGGGACGTTTAGGTTCTTCGGATTTATGGGATAAAAAACAAGGATGCTTAAGCATTTAAGCAGCACTTCTGAGAGCAATTGCGCTTGTGGCAATCGGAAAGCTTTTACAGCCATTGGTTCCTTGTTCTATTTTTGTTCTTGCGTACCTTCCTCAGCATTATAAACCTCACCACTGATTGAATATCAACAAAATTTTCTCCTGCATATACTCGTATGCGTGACAAAATTGTCAGCAGTGAGCCTCTCGCCAAGCGTCAGTTCCAGCTGTGTCTGGTAGACAAACCACATACAACATTGAAGCAGGTGATCAGGATTATACTTCTCTTCATTGCTATATACGCAATCAGGATACTCGCTCTTTCCTATTGTGGTATAGTAATCTGCACCCCTCCCTTGTCAATACTGCCAACTGACAAAAAGCGCCTCTCTTTCACCGCGTGTAGCTTCGACACCCTTTTTATAGAGCGTACATCTCTCCGCAGTGAGCAAATAAATTGGCGGGATACCAGCTACCGGTCGATACCGTTCTGTATGCGCATACCACGCGCAGCTGATTTTCGCTGGGCTATATTTCTTTTTCCTCAAGGCCTTGTTATATATAGGAGCTCCGTAAAGCATAATCAAGTTTGCCACTTCTGCCAAAATCCTGCGCCACTCACTACTGAGGTCGTATAAGTGATCCAACGACCTTATTCAACGACTCTTCTTCAAGCCATTTACATCCATCCATATTGTGATTCTCGTGATTCGGTATGCCAAGAGTCCTTCAAGTGTATCTCTCTCCGTGCTAGTCACTATCATCGCAAGGTCGTCAGCATACCCTGTCAACCGAATTCCACATCATAGAACGCGTTCCTTAGCAACGGCCCTAGGATGGAGCCCTGCGGGATCCCATGGATACTTTTATCAGCTTTTTGATAAAAGGGGCCTCGGTTGCTTTGCTTTATTGAGTAGTATATCGAATTCTCCGATTACTGCCTATGTCACTCGTTTAGGAAATGTAATTCCTTAGTAGCTCCACAGACGCAGAAAATTCTGCAATGATCAATGATTCTAATGTGGTTTTGTAGAGTCGCTGTTGGAACACGCCGAAAATATTAACATCACTTCCCGAATCGCCGATTTTCTACGTTTTTTTTTTCCAGGTCGATCAGGCTTCAGGAAATGCATTATACTATTTCCCAACTTAGAGGCTTCAGTTGAGTGATATTTTTTATATTTATTACACTCATTTGATTTACTAGTATAGAATGCTATTAGACCTAGTTGGTTTAATTTAAAACTGTCTTATTTCTCGTAACAGCTGATATTTTATTGTATGTGGGATTTTTGCTGCTTTTATGATTGTGTTAAATTAAATATGAACTACGAAAATCATCTTAGTAAAAGACGCCCGCGGCAGTGGAACCTCTTGGAAAAAGGAGTTAAAGTGTCCATATACAGGAAAATGCAAATTACTCTGACAGAAAGGAAATTAATATTACATTTATCGAAAATTACTTAAAAATGTTTATACTGAACCTAAACTAACTGTTAATAAAATGTATACTAAGTGACATATAAATCCGAACACCCAGTTTAAATGGTTTTATTTTAATAAAAGTTGGTGAATGTATTTATCTTACTGTAAATAACAAGTGAAAAAATTGTGGGACTTCGGGAAGCTGGACCTTCTTTTCGGGCAATTGCAGTTAGAGTGCAAAGAAGTGTAGACACTGTGGTTAGGTGTTGTCAGGCATGGCTTCGAGAAGGCCGTACGCAAAGAGCAAGGGGCACTGGACGCCGCCGTAGAACAACAGACCGTGAAGATCGCTGCCTAAGATTATTGGCTTCAAGGGACCGTTTCTCCACTACCAGGTCCATTGCAAATGAATGGTTTGCAGAACACGGAAGACCTATTGGCATGCGAAGTGTTTACCGACGAATGAGAAGTTTTGGCTTGTTTTCATACCGGCCACACTGGGTCCTCCCTTTAACTCGAGAACACCGACGTAATCGCTTTGAGTGGTGCAAACAACGGTCACGCTGGGATCAGGAATGGAACAGTATTGTCTTTAGTGACGAGTCTCGATTTTGTTTAGGCATGCACGATGGTCGTGCCAGGGTTAGAAGGCGACGTGGTGAAAGGAGGAATCCACAGTTTTTTGTTGAAAGACATGTTCATCACACTGTTGGAGTTATGGTTTGGGGTGCTATAGCTTATGGTTCCAGGTCACCTTTAATCTTCATCAGAGGTAACATGAACGCGCAGCATTATATCCACGAAGTTCTAGAACCCCATCTTTTACCCTATCTTGACACCCTGGCAGACCCAACTTTCCAACAAGATAATGCCCGACCACATGTTGCAAGAGTCACAATAGACTTCTTTCAACATAATGATGTCACATTGTTACCATGGCCACCAAGATCTCCTGACTTATCCCCAATTGAGCACGTGTGGGATATGATGGGTAGGAGATTGCTCAATTTGCAACGTCCTCCTCAGACTCTAGAAGCACTTCGAGAGGAGTTGGTGGTTGCCTGGAATGAGATACCACAGGAGGACATTGACCACCTGATCAGAAGCATGCCTAGGCGCGTTGGAGAATGCGTAGCACATCAGGGTGCATCCACACATTATTAAAGGTCAAAGGGCTTTAAAGCAGTGCAATCATTTTGAAGTTTTTATCATTTATTTATTATGCTTCATTAAGTACTTATACAAAATTTTATTAAAATAAAACCATTTAAACTGGGTGTTCGGATTTATATGTCACTTAGTATATTATGAGTTTTTAATTGTTTAAATTTAAGAAATAGGCGTTCAAGGGTTTTTTTATCGAATTTTCCTTAATGTAAATGCATATCATCATTAGAGGCTGATATCGAAAATCTGAAGCCAGATTCGGATTCAGCAAGCCAAAATATATAAAATCCAGGCAGTCATTCCAGGGAGGAAAAAAGTTTTAAAATGTCCTTCAGTATTATTATTACTATTATTATTATTATTATTACTGTTATTATCATTATTCAAGTCTCACGTATTTCATAAATAGTTTATTTATTATTTAAAGTCAAATGCCCAATTTTGGGTGAATGTTAAAAAACACATAAATTAAAAGTCTGGTTTTCGACCGTACATATAAAATGTGAAATTTATCATGCACTAGAAAAAATAAGGCGAATTACTAGTAGTACTGGATATACAGGGGGGCTTTGAAGTTGAGTCATTAATTTTCAGATAATGATTGTAGAAGGAAGATAAACCAAAATATGTGTGTAAAAATAAAAAAAAAATAAAAAAAAAATTTTACCTTGTTTTATAAAGTATCCTCCCGACAAGTATTTCAGTGCGGACCTGTATTTGATCGTGAGGTCCCCTGTGAGGTCTGAAGTCACCTGATTCACGAGCCCGTTGTACTACATTAACAAAGGGGTTGGTTGCACTCGATTGGGAAACCGATCCGCATAAACATGTGCCATTTTTTATTTCGTTTGAGCCACGCAACAGACACTATTCACACGCGACTGACATTGACTGTATGTATAACTGAACTGAATAAAATAAACATCGTTCCAAATTCTTTGGCTTTTTTGTTCCCGATGCGATGAACCGATAAGGTGGATTATATCCGTTGTTGCCAAACACGAGTACATGATATTATTGAGACAGGGCGGTACTCAAACTTCCAAAGGGCTATAACTTTGTTACTTTAATTTTACCAGAAAAATGGTAAAGGAAAAAAACATTTCTTTTGATCAGATCTACTCACTGTTAAAATAAATGACTCAACTTCGAAGTCACCCTGTATATACTAAGTGACATATAAATCCGAACACTCAGTTTAAATGGTTTTATTTTAATAAAAGTTGGTGAATGTATTTATCTTACTGAGATTAACAAGTGAAAAAATGTTCAGCCTTATCAGTTGGACATTCCGGTTTTTATACTGCTTTTTTTTAATTCACTAACGCTCTAAAAATGAATATTTCAGCCGCAGTAAAGAATCAACGTTGGCGGATTTTAGTTCTCGACATCCTTTACGATCGGTTACGATGCCTAGAGTACGGTGACCTGTACGATTTCGTCAACTTAGTGAGTTTGATAATGGCCGTATAGTGGGACTTCGGGAAGCTGGACTTTCTTTTCGGGCAATTGCAGTTAGAGTGCAAAGAAGTGTAGACACTGTGGTTAGGTGTTGTCAGGCATGGCTTCGAGAAGGCCGTACAATGGTCATGCCAGGGTTAGAAGGCGACGTGGTGAAAGGAGGAATCCACAGTTTTTTGTTGAAAGACATGTTCATCACACTGTTGGAGTTATGGTTTGGGGTGCTATAGCTTATGGTTCCAGGTCACCTTTAATCTTCATCAGAGGTAACATGAACGCGCAGCGTTATATAAACGAAGTTTTAGAACCCCATCTTTTACCCTATCTTGACACCCTGGCAGACCCAACTTTCCAACAAGATAATGCCCGACCACATGTTGCAAGAGTCACAATAGACTTCTTTCAACATAATGATGTCACATTGTTACCATGGCCACCAAGATCTCCCGACTTATCCCCAATTGAGCACGTGTGGGATATGATGGGTAGGAGCTTGCTCAATTTGCAACGTCCTCCTCAGACTCTAGAAGCACTTCGAGAGGAGTTGGTGGTTGCCTGGAATGAGATACCACAGGAGGACATTGACCACCTGATCAGAAGCATGCCTAGGCGCGTTGGAGAATGCGTAGCACATCAGGGTGCATCCACACATTATTAAAGATCAAAGGGCTTTAAAGCAGTGCAATCATTTTGAAATTTTTATCATTTACTTATTATGCTTCATTAAGTACTTATACAAAATTTTATTAAAATAAAAGCATTTAAACTGGGTGTTCGGATTTATATGTCACTTAGTATAATAATATATTTATTTATTACACTAGCTTGTTTATTTGTCATAGTGACGGGAGTAATAAACTAGCATCTATTTCAGGATTTATCACCTATTTCCA